TTGAAGAGAAGAAAATTAGTTTAGATAAAAAAGAAAGAAAAGAATTTCTAGAAGCAACTATTCCAATTATTTTCTATCAAACGCACGAATACGTGGAAAATTATTATCATCAATTTATTATCACTTGGAGCAAATATCTATGCAATAGAGTCTTTCATATTAGCATTCTTTTCATTTTCAATAATAACTCTTTTCATTCGTTTAACATTGCACGCCGTGAATGAAAAAAAGGAAAAAGAAAAAGGAAAAAAAGTGAACACGTCATCGTGGAGGGAAAAACGTATCGAAATATTCCCGAGATCGACGTTTAATATTTATTCAAATTTTAATACAAAATTAATCCGAATCCCCGAAACGAGAGGAGGGAATATTATACCGAATATAAAACCAATTCTAGGAAAACGCCGTATAACGTCCATAATTTCCTCCCATAATAATTTATCCCCCGTCATAATCGTTTAATTCACCCATCTATAAACTGAACAAATGACATCGGCATTCTTCTCTCATTGTCAGTTTCGGTTTAGGACCGTACTTATCGATTAGCCCCCGCCGTCTCTTTCCACGATTGTTCCGCTCTTGTCTCCGGTGTCGCATTGGTGCGCGCCCTAGAAACGCCGCACGCTGGTATGCGAGGCACGGTAATTACGAGGAAACGAGGAGGGCTCTGTAGGGCGCATCCAACAAACGAGCCAACGAACGAAACGTGGAGGATCCGCAAGGACGTGCAATTCGCGACGAGGCAACGATTTTTTCGAAGGGTGGACGCGCCGCCAATTTCGTGGTAATTTTTCTCGTGATATGGTATTTATCTCGTTGACCTCGTGGACATCTCGTGTGCATTAAAGCGGCCGCATCTTTTCCCGCTCGATATCTTATCATTTATGCGCATCATATCATGGATGAATTTCCTCGGTTTAACATTGTTCTCGAGATTTTTCTTTCCTTTTGTTGTATCGGTATGGACAGTGTGTTTAGAAAGGGCGTGTTTTGGAAATATTTTATTTCAGTATGGCTGATACGTTAGATTTATTATTATTCGAAATAATTAATAGTTGATTGTTGGAAACTGTTTTACGAATAAATTCAAATTGCAAAAGTTTCGTTAATAAAATAACGCAAGATTCGAGTGATTTCACTTTCTATTAAAATTCAAATTCATCACTGATGATCCGGAATTAATATTAGAAGAAGAATTAATATTTCAATTTTAATTGAAATGATACATGAATTATTATCGAGAAATAAAAAAATAAATGAATTTCGTTTCAATATTCTTTCCTCGTAAATTATTTCGAGGATCCCTTCACGTGGTTATAAATATGTATATTTAATTTTATTAAAGTGAGAACTAACTAAACTATCAACAGCTTAAACAGATTTAAAAAAACCAATAATCGCTATTTATTATTAACGCGCAACAAAACTTTACTCCGCAACGATACTGTACGCATAAAACTTTAGCACCGATACTTAAAGACAAAACTTGATCAAAGTTGAATTACTTGTAACCTATTGAAAGTTTTTTTTTTTTTTTTTCTTTCAAAAATGAGTTTAATTCGGTGACGACGCACGAATGATTTACGATTATCGGACAAACGTGCAAAATCGTTTTGCGATACGCGGGCTTAACCGGCCCCCGCCCTCGAATTTATTAGTCCCGTTTTATCTGTTTCGATAATAGTTTACCCACATAACTCGCGTAGAAAGTTAGAAGGCGGTTACATTGTGAACGTGAGAAATACGCACACCATTTCGCCTTGTCTTTCTTTCATTCCTCCGCTCGAGGAACTGTTCGAGGTTACACGTCCGAGTTAAAAAACATTATGAAAGAGCCCCTCTCGAAGAATTAAATGAATAAAATACCAATAGATTTCCTCGGCCGTCACCGTCCAAGTTATAAAATATATAATAGCTAGTTGACCTCGATATTCTTGAGAGGAGAATTTTTCAAATTTTTTTTGATAATTAATCAGATAATTACACTATTTCTTTTAAATAATAATAATACATCTTGAAAATTGTTGTGCAATTCACGAATTTCTCGATAATTTTTGAAAAGAAGCAAATGATAAAAATGATAAAAATTGTATAAATAATTGTACAAGCGATTCTTTAATTAAGACGTAGAAAATTGTGATTAAGGTTGAAAGGTTAATAGGAAAATTTTTGCGTTATAAATATTAAAACAAATTATTAAAGGTATTCATGGAATTTTGAAAATTCGTAATAATATAATAGGTAAAATGTAGATTATCTCGTTTTTGAAGGAAAATGCACTCCGATTTTCCACTAACCTCCTCAATTAATTGGATCGAATAATTGCTCTTTTTAAAAAATAGAATAGTGAAAATTATCGTATGAAATTGACAGAACATCTCCACTTATATCTACTTATTGATATAAAAGAGAGAATAAAAATCTCTCAATAAATTAACTTCGTTAACCTATTTTTTGAAGGATGGTATTATAGTTTTTGAAAATTATTTTGAAAATTATACAGATCTCTCGATATTTCATTTCGTAATTAATATAAGTAAATTTTAATAACTTAATTTATATTAATATCATAATTGCTTTACTTTTTAAAAATAGTAACAAATTAGCGATTGAAATAGTTACAACTTTTCCTCTTGTAGCATACACGAAATTATTATCGAACAATGCGATAAAGTTTGGACATATTACATCTTGACTTCTCCCACTGCTGTCAAATTTGGATAGATTAAAGCGAAAAACTTGTTTTCAAATTCAAATTAATTAAATTAGTTTGATGTTGAACAATATAATAATTGTTTATTACTATATTAAAAGAGAAATCAATTTTTTTTTATGAGTATTATCAAATAATTTTATAATTTTATATTATTTATGTATAATAAACTTGGATATAATATAAAATTCCATTTTTATATTTTAAGTAAAAAAAATTTAGCTATTTATCTATTCATTATATTGATTCTTTTACTATTACGCCAATTTGATACTAAGGGACAAATTAAGTTAGGAAAATGAACGGTGGATGAGGATTAATATCCCATCTAACCTAAATAGAATAAATATTTCTCGCTTATTTCTGATATAAAAAAATATTAAAAGAAAAATTACAAAAAAAAAAATTAAAACATTATCGTTTAACAATTTTAACAAACATTATTCGTTTAGAAAGGAATAATGCAATAGGCAAAAGATTTATTTCAATAGTTATAAAGATTTTTAGATTGTCGATTTTAAATTCCTAAATGGGATTATGTATTTTTATTATCGGGGCGGAATAATCGCGGTCAAGATCAATCCGAATGACTTATAATAGCATCAACCTTTATGCAACCTTGGAGTTCAGAAAAAGTTGAGAAATATATAGGTGATTTCGCCATGAACATTTAAAAGTAATTGTAATTATAGTCGTCAGCCTCGATGAAAGGAGCGAAGCAACAATCGAAATTATAACGACGCTGTAATTTAATTATTCGTAATTTCACAGAACTACCCGCCATTTCTGTTTTCGCTTGTTATCTTCATTATTACACCATTTGCAAAAACCACTCTCCAAGCCCATTGTGAACGGACAACGCGCAACAAGCCCCACCGATAATAATTGTAATAATTTTGATAAAAGTTTACGAGACTCGAGGGAAACGGGTGTGGTTTCGAGATCGAGAATAGAGAGGGGTGAAATTAAAAATGACGAACTTGTTGGATGACACTGCGGCCGCGTGTTAATACGTCGGACTTCAACTGTCTCGCGTTAAAAGCACAACGAGACGTCCATTATTAAAACAGAAAAATGAGCAATAAGAATAAACGGCGAACAGAAAAAAAAAAAAAAAAGACGAAAGGGAGATAAAGGGGGGTTGGGGTAAAAAAGAAAAAAAAAAAAAAAAAAAAAGGGGGGAAAAAAAAAAAAAAACGAGACGAGAGTGCAACGGAACGTTAGACAAAACATGCAGAGAGCATGAACACGCATTCACGTCTATCGAATCGACGGCTCTCTGCTCGTTTCTCCGACGACCGCGTGCGTATACCAGCGTTCATCATCGATCTACGATGCCGGACTGAAGAATGCGCACGACCATATCGTTCCGCTTCTAACGAGCGATTATTCGTCACACGTTCCATCTTATTATCCTTTGTGCGGTAGACGGGCGAGTAGTGAGTCATTTCTTTAAACTCGTTAACTCGTTACAAGCCAGCAGCTTCGAGAGAGCTCCCTCCCTCCCCTCCACCCACCTCGCGAGATCCCGTTCTGTCCATGTGCAACGAGGCCGGCTGGTCGATCATTGTATATAATACAGGAGAGAAGAGAGAGCAGAATGCGAGGGTGTGCTCACAGCGTGTGCGGTGTACGCGCGCGGAAAGGTGCAAATAATAATAATACCAATAACTAAGGGCCCGAGCGTGGCGCAATCGAGAAGTCAAGAGAGACGACGATGGAAGCCGGGATTGGGTCGAAGGGTTAGAGGCTCGTGCTTGAAGGCTCATAATCGGTCGGACTCGCATCACGCTCGGTTCTACCCGAGCTGCCGTGCCGGCCGATGACGAAGAC